CAGTATGGGCAGACAGGCTCAGACAGGGAGGGGATATCTCACATATGTCAATACCTCCCAGTCAGGTGCTGGTAACTGTGCCAAGAATTAAAAGCCTGTTAAAGTAGTTAATAAGGCTCAGGAGATATGCAGAAACAATGCTTTTAAGGTAATATAGCTTTAATCATTAATCAGGGCACATTTCTGGTTTGTTTTTTTTTGTTTCCTGTCCTGGGTGACAACATGAAAGACGATCATTTGGTGAGAAAAAAGAGACCAAGACACACATGCTGATATTAGGTTTTCATTCTGTGCAAGAATTATTTTTTAAAAATTAGGTAATTTTGTGACTAGGACAGGGTTTAAAATGTTGAGACAAACCCCAGTGTCAGACAGACACTTCCTCTTCTGCCTTTGACCAGAAACATCTCTCCCAGCCATATAAAAGTCCTCTCGATTCATACATGTGTGTCATAATGACAGGTGTCACAGGTCATGAGACACAGATGCACACCTGTACCCAGTTAGAAAGGAACTCTGAGGAATTTCCAGGCACAGACAGCCATATTGCACTACTGAAAAAGGAGGCAAAAAAAAAATGGAAACAGCAAAGCTTCTATGCTCAGGTAGCCACAAACTATTCTCTTCCTACTCAGCATCAAACCCCATAGCTCCACCCAGCAACCAACTTCAGTCTGTGGGGTTTCAGACATCGTGGACTCAAACATTTAGCTTGTTAAAGAGAAATAAAGCAGTAGCAGCTCTGCATATGTACAGTTGTTTAGGACTATTTTGAAATCCTGTATTCACTCAGGGTCCTTATCATTACTTTCAGTTATATCTGTTGCATATGCAAAGCTGTAATTTTAATTTATTCCAGGAGGCTCTGACAGACTGGCAAAACCAGGCATAATTGGCTTGCTCAAGAAGAAAAAGCAGTGATGATACGTGTAATACATGTGCTGCAAAACAATGACAATACAGTATGGTGTTACATTAATACAAATAACCCCTTTTTAATGTGACTCACTGTGTGACACTCATTATTCCGGAGATTCCGCAGCCGACAATGCAGTGAAATGCAGAGAGACGTGCAAACAGATGCAGTGGTGATGTATGTCTGCTGTCATTAATTTAACACAGACAACTGACCCAGTCAAATAGCACTTAATGTTACATAAAATTTGCTGAGTGGTTTCTGAGTGTGCTCTGCTCAAAGCTGGTCTGACCATAACAGAATCTTATTAGAAATAGGCAGGGATGCACCTCAAGAGTCTACTTGAAAACCTGCTTTTAGAAATAGGCCCAATCCTGCAATCAAGCTTCTGCTCTTACAAGTGGAAGCTCTACCATGTATTTTAAATTAGCAATTAGCTAAATTATCATCCATAAACCAGCTGTTAGAAGAAGGCACTGAGACTGACATCAGGTGAGGTCCAGTTGGCTGTTACCTAATTAAAAGAATAAAATAAATGAAAGGTTTGCAGTACGTTAATTTCATTCAATGTGGAATCATCTGCAAAGAAACAAAACTTCATAAAAATTATGTACAAGAGGCCACCTGGTTCCCTAGGTGATGCTCTCCCTCACCAGAGAGCAGAAATTCCTTTATGAAGAGACAGTAACACTCTTTTTTTTTCTAAATAAACCTGAAAAAAAAAGTGAGATATTACAGAATACTGCAAAATTGATGTTAATGTGACAGAAAATTGTTTCAAATACATTGCCAAAGTTTATTTCCAGCTACCCTCAGCCATAAAAAAAAGGTAAATAAACTATTACCAAAAGCCTAGACACCAAACAAGTAACAATGACTTGCTAGTCACCACTAGAACTGGTACAAGTAGCAAGAACCTTCATGAAGCAGTTCACATCTTCCCACACTCCTGTTGCACACCTTACCCAGGTTGGATTTATCTAACCTGAAATCATATTTAACCAGGGGTCTAATTCTGAGGTGTCCCATGGGTGCTAGCTGTGAGCCTTGCCACAAATACCCCAGACAGTGATCTCCCCAGCAGGCCAGTCAAGCTGACAATGCACACCACTTTAAACCAGCTAAGCCTCTCTCTTTGTCTTATTTATCCTCTTCAACTGCATCCCTGTCACTGTGAATAAAGACATGGGACACAGTCCTGATGGGGGAACAGCAGGTCACCCCACAGGGTCTTGCAGTGATCTGCTCCCACATTTACCACCATCCATTAACCAAGTGCAATCACAGAGAGCACAGTCTAGACTCACAACAGACCCAAACCTGCCAGGGAGGAGGTTGTGACAGCATTTTCATTTGTTACTCAATATGAAAGGGGACTTTCAGCCTCATGCTGAGATATTCAGGCTTTAAAATCCTTACCGACCTTGGTTCACCAGCTGGTAACTCAATGAGAAAGAGAATGAGTGAGTGGTTCACATGGTACAGATGTTTCCACAGTTTTCATGATGTTAAAAATAAACAGGACAACAAGAGAATGCAAAGAAACACTTCTCAACACAAGCAGGAAAATGCAGTACAGAATGAGTGCTGGTTGATGAGCATGCCAGTGTCTCTGCAAAGGAACTAGGGAGAAAGGAGAACTTGCAACCGGAGAAACCTCTACTGTGTACACACTACAGACTGCAGTTACAGGCATTTCCAACAACACAGAGGTTAGGATCCAGGGGAGTTCCAGGAGAAGGTAAAGATGAGGAGGAAACTAACAGGGATTCATCTGTGCAGGCATTTTCAACAAGAAACCAATCATCTGTATGTTTATTATAAATTCTCACCATGCTCCTGAGGCCCAGCCTCACATCATTGGCCATCTCCAGATGGAAAGGGAAAGGAAGATGTGGGGAGAAAAAAAAAAAAAGGATCAAGATAGTGAGGCTAATAATGTAATTAATGTTTCACACTCTTCAGCAAACATATACTCATCATTTCTTATACTTCTGGTCTGAAATAGCATTGCTTAAAAAGATGATGGCCCTCAAGAGAGTGGTGTTTTCAGAATTTGACATCATCTAAAATTACACTGTGAGGTGACAGATTACTCTTTTATGAAGAAAAAATTAAATTCATGAAGGTTCTATTCCAAAACTCACTAAAACTTAATGGTTTCTTTACATTGCATTACACATTTTTTTAATCCTAAATGATAATCTAGTCCATAAGGGATGCAATTTCTCACTCTAGTGAGCCCAAATCAAAGCAGTGCTATCCTTTAACAGTCTGAATTACTCTACTGGAGCATCAGGCATAACAGATTGCTCAACACCCTCCTTCTTCACCATTCCTGTCTAGTCACATCCAAATCTCAAAAGTTCCCATTTTTTCCTATTATGCCAGGAGTACAGGAGAGGGTTGGCACAGGAAACAAAGAAATGCTTCTACAACCTGTCTGATGCCCAGTGTTAGCTGACTTACAAAGCCTCTCGTCTCCACTCCAGCTACATGAAAGCCTTACAAATTCCTTACTCCTGACTCTTAGCCACATTTTTTGCAATTAAAAACTGAATTTTGAAAAGGTTTCTGTGCCCCCATTCAGGGCTGTATTTTGGAAACTGCCCAAGATCCTATTTTGACATAAGATATGACCAGCCAAATCATTAAAATAGCTCAGCACAATAAAAATCTGGCCACCAGTTGCCTGAAAGATAACTCTTGCATACTGAATAATTCTGAAGAAATAGTACTTGTTATGTTGAGTGAGTTTGTGTAGCTCTTTTTATATATGTGCCTATAAATACGGGTCTGGAGTTATGAAAATCATAACCAAGCCATTGATTAATTTTAAAAAAAAAGAAGAAAATATTTTGCACAGTATAGGTATCTGTGATACCTTAATATTTTGGTAACACTGCCCAGATGTTATTTCAGGTACTATAAAATTACTTAAATTCAATTGATAAATAGGCTTATATATTGCATGTTAATATCATTGCATGGTAAGGTCATTCATCACCAAATAACTTTGATGCACATATAACTCCCAGTTTCTGCTTCATACATGGTGGTTTCAAAGCAACTGAAGCTTGATCCTATGCCACTAAAAGGAATGAAAATGTTCTGGTGCTCTGGGTGAGATTAGAATACACCTGTTATTTAATTTTATGTACATGCTTAAATCAGATCAACACCTAAGGCACCTTAGTCAGATCAACACCTAAGGCATTTTATAAACCACAAAAATGCAAAAAGAAATTTGAGAAAAAAGTCACATTTTATGCTTTATTTATTTTAAACTTTTACTGATTTTGTTATTTTACACCCCCTTCAAAAAGTCAACTTTAAAATACCACTGTAGGCTGAGATAAGACATACAAAAATTAGCTGTGTAAACATTGTGTAAAGAATCTAAAATAATCTGACACATTAAGGCTCCAATTCAATAAAATACATAAGCTCATGCCAAGCTCATGAGTAGCCACAGAAGTTCTCTGGGATAGGTAATGTAATGTAAATTAAGCAAGTACTTACACTCATCACCAAACTGAAACTTTAAACAAGTTATTTCTTTTTGATTTCCCTGCATGGCAACACTCAATTTTTAAGCTTATTTCTGTTGAATAATTTTCTTCCCCCTCTAAGGTTCATACCAGGTAAATCCAGATTATATCCCTAAGGATCCCATTAGCAGGGTTTTCTTACATGACAGAGAAAAATTAAGCCAAACATAAAAATCCCTTCTTTGCAGTTAGGGAAATGTGTTGGTACAAAACTCAATTGCTTCATCACTGCTTTGGGTAGCAGAAGCCTGGGCCCAGTGCCATAAATCACAGGGATGACATGTCACTGTTAAATCCATTACAGCCTTGACCAAAATCTATAGTGATCAATAGCAGGAGTTGAGCGATTTCGTTGGATTTTGGACGTGCACCCTGCCTGGGACCAGGAATTACAGAATATCTACTTCACTATAGGCACCTCCAAAGAGAAAATCTTGTTTCTTCACTCACATAAAAAGCCAACATGGAGTTAGTTAAGATGCCCTTCCAGCTATTACCATCTTCTGTACAAGGTAATTTATATATTATATTGGTTTTTTTTTTTTTTTTTTTTTTTGGACTGGTTCTCCCAGCTTATACTTTATCATCAAACAACCTTAAACTTTGCATTCTGGGTTGACTGATTCCTAACAGCTCTTTGCTGATTTAAAAACGCTAGTTAAATGAAGTTCCTCAGCTTATTACATTCAAAGCCGGTTTGAAACGGAATTTCTAGATGGCATTAAAATGCATTATTTTGCCAATGTTTACGTGATTTATTTTCCCCAAACAAACCTTTATTTATTCTTAGAAAAGTAGAATACAATACAGTAGTACAAACAAATGATAATTTATATGCAACTGAGCAAAAAATGTACAAAGATTTCAGACATGTCATTAAAATACAGAAAAAATAATTTAAAATAAAAACAAGATAAAATATAGAGAACATGCAATGAAGGGAAAATAAAATATCGATTTGATGATCTCATGTTTCCTTTCACTCTCAAAAGGAACCATCTTGGGGCAAATAAAATTATCACATAAAAAGATAAGACCACAAAGGAGACAAGGTAAATGAAGTGACAAGGAAAGACAAGGAAAGTGAAAATAATGGTGAAAGCAAGAGACTCTTTAATAATCAAAACCAACACTGCTGACACCATGCCAAAGGTACAGAAGCCTTGACTGCCATGGAATAGTGTCTGGCTGGAGAACTAAAGTGAGATGAACACAGTACAGATCACAATTCTTAGCAGTGACAAAACTGGACCCATTGGCCTCGTGTCTGCCAGCTCCTTTTTCCATTTGTAAGGTACACTGGGATTCCTGCTCTTCTAATGCCAGAAGAAGTCTTAGTGGGTAACTTTCATGACGGCTAAAACTGGAAGAATGGATTTCTGAGGTAGGCTGGAATTTGCACATCAGTGGACACAGAAGTGAGGGAGTTTAAGGCAGATCACAAAAAGGCTTCCCTGGCCAGAGATATAGGTGGGTTTTTTTTTTTCCTTCACACTGTGTACTGATAAAATACTTGTGACAATTTTTAGAATAATTTTGCTACCTCCCACAATCTCATAAAGCTCACAGAGTCTAGACCTTTTGAGATTCAAGACATTATTAAGCATGGAGTAGCAGGAAATAGGAATTATAAGGTGCTGTTACTAGTACACAAGACCCTTACCACTCTGAACAGTAAATTAAATGCTGCCACCTTTTAATAATTAAAAAATAAAAAGAACAGAAAAGGGAAAAGAGTCTATTGAATAAAATGATTTTGCAGAAGCATAAGAAAGGAAAGAAATCACAACCTAAGCTGGGAAGACTGATTGTTAATGAATTATAAATTTGACACAAGTTAAAGACAATGACTAGAAGCAACACAGGAGGTGGAAAACTATGCTGTGCCTTAACCAGTAAAACCCCCAAATCTTCTTGCACTACAGATTCCCAAACACACTGGGTCCAGTCTCTGAAACACTCAGATCACTAGGAATAGCACAGCTGGTTTGGAAAAATAGATATTTGATTAAACATATATATTATCTGTGCAAAGAAAGAATCAAACCCAGAATTTCTTAGGGTCATTCTAACATTGTCTCTCAAGAGCTACATCAAATATAAGTGAATCAATTTCACTACTTATGAGAGATACAAGTATCAGATCCCAGAAAACAAAAAAGCATCCTGCACAAATGACTAATTTTGTTTAACATGGGCTTGCCTTTTAATTTCTTAGTGAAAAATCTCATGCACAGTGAAAAATATGAGAATTTAACTTTCTTTCCATGAATAGTAGGATATTTTATCTTTGCATATAAGTTTCCATTGTTTTGTAGTGTATGGATGAACTAGGAATGCTTTCTTCACAGTTCTGATGAGATCTCAGAAGTAATACTCTTCAGAGGAACAGCACATCACACAAAGGCACAGCTGATAAAGCACAGAGGATGCTGGGGAGCCCATTGCAGGAAGCAGCCACACTGGATCATAGTGACAACAAAGATGTGAAAACTGCCTTTCATCCTTTCAAAGGGGATAGAAGATACCAACAATCTGATGATGTGGCAAAGCCCTTGGCTGTTAAATGATTCAAATTACATTATGGCTTACTGATATTGTTAAATAAATGCATAGGACTCACACAAAAAGTTAAAGAAATCCAGAGGCAACTGTCAAAAGGTCGACATTTATATGGTACCAGGTTTTAGTAACTGTATCTGATTGCTGAGTCATTTAACAGGGACATAAAGTGACTGAACAAAAACTCAAGAATAAATATTAATTTTTCACAACTCCCTAATTTTCTGAAGCTTATAGAAATCAAAAGATTAGGAATCAGTATTTCAGGCTAAGCAGCAGCTGTGTAAATTCAAGATTTTAACACAGAGATAGATGTATGAGCTGGCTCAGTTTCACTGTGGGTATTGGATGGCTGGGTGCTAACAATGAGTAGAGGGTGATTACAAATTCCAGAATATCTCTTTGGAAAAAGATGACCTAGTGCAAGTTTTTCTGAGTTAGAAAGTAATAAGGCAATTTTAACATTACCAGATATTTTCCATCTTGAAAAGATTGCAAACTTGAGCCCTAATAGAAGAATGTGGCATGGTGTTGCAGCAGTATATTTTTTCCTGATGCTGGAGCTAATCTTTCTTTTGTTAATCTGATCTGATAAGGATTAAATAGGGAAAACATTAAAATTTGTACAGCAGAACTCATTAGGAACATTTTTACAAATCTCCATCAAATAGAATCAAAATATCTTGTATCAATATCCCAAAAAAGACCAACCCAGCATTTGCTCTTCTAGCAAGAAATTTCACTATTTCTTGAAAGATAAAATCGTGAACCAATGGCAACACGGAAAAATAAAGGTAATACATCTTTCCTGGAGGTTTTTCTTAATGAACTGACTTAGTGCATAGGAACAATACTATTTTTTTTAATAATTTTTGTGGGGTTATGTTTTTTCATGTGTGAAAAATGTAAAAAAATTCTAATTGGAAGCAGCATCTCCTTGACATAACACTTCCTATGAAGTCTACAAATGTAGATCAGGTTAATACCAACATCCAAGTAATGTTGTTGGGTTTCAAAAGACAGGCTTCTGTTCGTCTCATAGTTAATCCTACATTCTTCACACTCAGTGTAATTAAGAGCTGTGATTTATACCATGCAGACATCTGAGTCCGTTGACATCAGTGTATTGGTTCAGCCTAACCTCCAAAAAAGCCTAAGGAATACAAAATGGAAAAAGCAAAGATAACAAACTGGCAAAAAACACCACTTTAATGTCAGCTGAAAATATTACTCCAATGCCAATGAAGGCAATGAACATTTTTCTAGCCACGGACTTCACAGACCCTCAACATAAAAAGTAAGAGTCTCTAAAAAATGCTTTTTCTCTCTCTCCAGCAAGCTGCATGCCACCCAACTCTGTCATAAATCTGCCATAGTAGCTGTATATTCATCGTCCCAAAATTTATTTTTTTTTTGAGTTGGCAATTGTTGACATGATACAACCAACCAAGTAAGTCATGTCAAAGTGAGAATGCAACACAAGGGCTTCATAAGTCAGGAGAACTCCTTGTTCAATTCTGGTTCCAATAGAATTTTTTCCAAGGGATTTATAAAGCTCCTAACAGGGTGAGGGCTACAGTAGCCCAATGTTGCCACTTTCTCTTTGCCTCATAGGCAACATCAAAGTCTATCTCAGACTGCAAGAAAATTAGCCTTTTCTGTTACCCTCCACAAGCTCTGCTTCACAGAAGGAAGTGGATGAGAGACATCCCAGTTCCCACAACTTTTAGGTGATATCACAACACTTGCGTTTTGCCAAAGCCTTCCTAAAAGCAGAAGAAAATCAGCAGCATCACTTGAGTTTGCATCTCTTACTGAACTAATGACTTGGCTGGAGTACCAGAAGCAGCTAAAAGGCAGATTTTAATGTTTGGTCTATGCTACTCATCCTGTAGCTGTGCCATCATAGCTCTTGCTGTAGAAATGCTGGTTAATGCACAGTGCTAGCAATGAGCTGTCCTGAACACACTCCTCCTTGTGCTTTTGATTTAGCTGAGCCCTATGCCAGGCTCAGCCACTGCTCCTGGATCAAACAGAGGAGAACCCAAGACTCCCCCTCAGCCCTGGATCCTGTCCTTCCCATAGTTTTGAAAGTTGGTTCTTCTAAACACGTCAAAAACCTTCAACCTATATTCACCATCTCTTTCAAAACTTGTGTTCCTACCTTAATTGCAGTAGCCATCGGATGTCCCACTTCAATCCTCCTCACTGGTAGTACATAAATACATCAGGCCACTAATCTGCCAGGAAATACTGCTACATTCATTTACTAATTTAGCTGAGTGGATGTTGTGGTCACTGTGACAAGAGCCCCCAATCCCTGGTGTGCAGCAGGGCCAGAGCAATGTGGCCATTGTCCTAGGCAGAGGGTTCCTGAGGATCCTGCCTGTCCCTGGCTCTGGGCAACTATCACCCTTCCCTGTGGCTGCTCTGATTGACCCAAAGGTGCCTCCATCTGGCTGCCTGGCATTGCACCTGGCTGTTCCCTTCATGGGACCCCTCATTCCAGCCCATCCTCCCATACCCTCCGTACACCTTCCTCCAGCTGGCTCGGCCCAGCCCTGTGCTCTCTCACTGGGAACATGCACCTCCTCATTCAGCCTTTACACCTGCTGTGCCAGGACTCCTGCTGACTCTGTTCCCCCTCTCCTGGCAGCAACCCCCTCACTGATCTTTCTGGAAGCTGTCCATGCACTGTTTAAGTTTAATTTGCCTCTAACCCAGCCTAGTTCTGCTCCAAGGGCAGGCCCAGCCCCACAGACAGTGATCTCCCCAAGCACAGCTCTACCATGGGAGTAACTTCAGTTTACCTGAAAACACAGAGGGTTAAAAGTATTCTATGTTTGACAAAGAAACTGCCAAAGAGCACTACAGACATACAAGAGCAATCTTCATTGAGAACAACCTGGAGGGAAAGAGGAGGAGAAGGATGGGAAAGGGAGAAAAGAAGAAAAGATGGGGTGGGGTAGACACAGATATGCAATAATCCTTCTTTGAGTTATTAAAATAAGAAAGGAAGGGGATGGGTGAAAAAGAAAATATTTAAACTTGGGAAGACAGATTCTTTTTCAGCAATGGAAACTGAGTGTTCAAAACTCCTTGCAAAAAAAAGAGCCAATTACTTCACCTTAGCTATATGAAACTGCCTTTAGGTCATATTCTCATCTCACTCTAGAAAGATACACAAAGGCAAGTCCCTGAGCATAGAGAAGGGAACACACCACATACTATGGCCAGATAAGTGCTTGTGCACACAGCATGAGGACTTTGGAAAGCATCCCTGCGCTTGCCCTGCAGGATTTCACCGTGTGCAGTGCAACACCTGCTGCTGGGCTTCAGGCTGTCACAACACTTATGTGGGGGAACTTTTGGAGTCACAACAGGAGCAACTTCAACCAGGCAGCAGGGCAAAATCACAGGATATGGAAGAGAACTTTTTTGGGTTGGAAGAGAGCTTGGCGATCCCCAATTCCAACCCCTCTGCCACAGGCAGGGACACCATCCACTAGACCAGGTTTCCAATTTTCCAAAATTGCTTACAGGTGACAGGTATGTCAATTAGTCTACTGCTCCTGCAACTTGAGAAAGAGAGATTAGAATTGGTGGGCTATGTACTATTTTCCAGCTGTAGTGTAGTAGCACAGCTCACATGCTATTGTTTGCTTGTAACAAACATCTGTTCCAAGATGAAAGCACCTACAAATGCCTCGATGTCTCCAAAATTACAAGAGGTTAGTTTGTTAAACATTTAATCTTTGTAAACAAATACAGGCTTCATGCAAGACAGATCTGAGAATAGATTATTCTACCTTAGCATTGCTAACTACTGCTGGCTGCTGTGCATGGAAACTTCAAACCCAAGAACTTCTCAGATACAATTTCCTAGACAAAACTTGTTATATGAAGGTCAGCTTCCTCAGAGGCTCCTACTTTTAGAAATAAAACTGACTTCAAAGGAAAGGAAGCATTTAAACAGTGTCATGGCAATATGGCTTATTCAATTATTAACTAGCTGATTTATTTTTAATTGCTTGTGTACCTCTTCAAACTCAGCCTAGGTCAGCCATGAAGGAGAGCAGCCACCAGCCGTCTGGCAGCTGCAGAGCCTGTGCAGGATATGGACATGGGTCTCCCAGCCAGTGGATGGGGGCTCAGATCAGAGAAAACATCACCACAAGTGGCACAGCCGGGTGCCCGTGACTGGCCTCCCCGTCACTCACAGCAGAGTGGCCGAGGACATGTTTCTGAACCACTCTCTTACCCCTAAAGGTGGTCTCTCCAGGTCAGGGCTGAGGCACATTGGTGGGGCAATGAGGGGAAGTTTGCACTGCTGCTGCCCATGCTGTATCTGCTCTACAAATAAATAGAGGACTTTAGTCTCCAGGGCTGTCAGTTTGGCACCTTCCATGTGCACAAAAGACACTTTTGTTTGTTTGCTTTTATTTTCTTAGAAACAACCACCCAAAAAGTTATATGCAAAGCTTAGTATGGCAAATCAAAATAAATCAAATTTATTGCATGAGAGCACCTAAAATCCCACAACTTCCACTTGCTCTCTCTTTCTTTTGTGTTTTCTACTTTTAATTGTGATAAGAATAAAAGTTATGGACCTCTTTCGGCGTTTCTTGATGACAACGGTTGCTGTTCCACCACAACTCCAATGCTGCCACCAAGCAAGCAAGAAGAAGGCCTATTGCTAAAATGCAGAAAACCCCTGCAAAACTGTGCAGCTTGAGTGCCTTCCCATCTGTCTGTGCATTGGTATGGCTATTCAGGTCACAACGTCCCATCCGTGGCCACCACTTCTGTTTAAGAACATCCAAATCTCCACTTTCTTGCAACTCTAGGATCCTGCAGAAATTTCAAAAGACAAATATTATTTGCAATGATACTTTTTTACAGGTTTTTTTTTTGTCTTTCCCTTACGCTTCACAGCTCTTAAGTTTACCATCCCACAATTCAAAACTCCACCCCCGCTCCACCACCAGCATGTTGTATTCTTCATCTGAAACTCCTTATACCAAGATTTCTTTCTACTCACATCAGCAGGTAAACTCCACTGGGTAACTTTAGGAAAAAAAGAGACTGTCAAAAATTCCACTGCAAAGCAAATAGCATTTCCAAGGGAAATCACTACAGCAGTTGGTTATGCCTGGTCTGGCTACATTCAGCTGCAGCAGCTGGTCCCACTAGTGAAATGCTCAACCCACTCCACTGCTGCTCTCCTACAATAATTCCAAAAATATGTGAGTCTAAACATGGTACTGTTTGTGCACCACTTAGTACAAATCTGTTTAAGCAGCGACCAACTCATCTACTTTAGCAAATGTAGTTTATTCAAAAGGATTTTACTTCAATGCTGTTACTTAATGCCTGAATTACTGTGTTAACAGTTGCTAATTAATCATTGTTTTGTCTCTTGTGAAGTGTCCCTTCTCTGCATGAATGATTCATTTTGGGTTTGGTTTGATAACTGTTTTAGCTGTTTACTAACAATCTTTTCCCTTGAGACAGCTTTGTCTCTAGTTATGCAGCAGGAGTTTTGCTCCTTTTTATAAAGGAGGAGCAAGATGAGGCAATCTGGCCTCAGCTCCCTGCCTGGAGCGGAGCACCCGCTCACCTTCTGCTAAGGCCACACATGCCTGCACAACTGCGTGTCTTCATGTCAGGGTACACATTCACACAGACAAGTGATACCCAGCTGATAACTCAGAGATCACTGAACAGCAAAGTTTTATAGCGTCCTGGCCTTGTCAGTCCCAAGCAATTCTCTGCAACTCTTGTTTCCATGCACCATTGTGAGTCTTTGACCTGTCCCTCCAGCCTAAAGGATAACGCAAGGCATTGCTGCTTGCTTACTGCAGGGAGAAACACATTTCTTCAGAGACTGCAGAATGTGACATCAACTCAAGCTCTCTCCTCTACCTCACCTCTCCTCTACCATGCTCTGAGGACATCGGTCCTCTCTGCCAGAGGCATTGCTGTCTAAGGGTGTGAGGCCACACATCACCTCCAGTCCCCTCCTCCCAAACCAAATGCACATTTGAAGAAGCAGCAGCTTTGCTGGAGCCTGAACTCATAACCTCTCTGCTGTCATGTAGTCATTATTTTTTATTAATTAAATGCCAAAATTAATGTGAACAGTTGCTGGCTATAGAGAGAAATCCTATAAAACAAGCTTTGTTTCAGTTTACCTTTGGGAGAAAAGATCTCTGTAGGGACTTCCATGTTGGAGTGCTATCCCATAGCCTTTGCTGCTGATGCTGTTTCCAATGACTGTCACAGAGCATTCATCATCTGTCAGTGCAGCATATTCCACCACTGTCACATCCCACAGGAAAGCATAATTTCCTTTCTTTGCCTGTAAATACAGCATGAACACAACACAGTCTAAATTAAACTGCGTTTCTAGGTAGGACAAAACCTAAGCCAGCAAACAAATCCAGATCTTGTCACTATTCCTTGGAGGTATTTCATTAGGTCACAGTTAATATGTAGACCTTCGATATTTTAATACATTTCTAACAGTCTTCTCTCCCAGCAGGACCTCACCTACTTCAAACCTTGCTAAAATATCTTCCATTTTTTAGGATGCACATAGGATAACACAGCCAACTGTAAGTGTAGGTGAGGTTTATGTAACAGGTTATTAATTATAAATGAAAGCTATTGCTTTAGATTATGAAATTCAATGCTTATTTTGTAGGAGACATGGAATGCGACCGGTTCCATGCATTTAAGTGACAAGAGTGGCATAGTATGACATGGCATTAATGGCATTAAGTGATGAGCATCACAGGCATCAAAATTTGCAGCTTTGCTCATACAAACATAAATAAACAAATTTCCCTTGTAGGTAAACACAGCTCTTCCGAGAGTCCTGTAACAAAAGGCACACACTAAGCTGAAAGAGATCCCTCTTTCCGTCACAGGCAAGAAGATTCACAAGCATCTACTACTATCTCAGTTTTGGGATAAACAGTATTTTATTTTAACACAGATCCATGCAGTTATCCTTAAATATCAGCTTTAATTGGAACTGAAACCAAGGCCTGCACACCGTGTATATAATGAATATAAATCACCTTATTTAACACAAGATGTAAGAAACATGTCTGGATAGGGATTCAGTAAAGTAAAATAAAATACCTTTTTTTTGGTTAAAGTAACCACTGGTTACCTAGTATATTTAAGTAGCTGAAGCCCTGTATGTATTTATTTATGGGAACTGATTCACAAAGCTCCCCTGGCAAATGGCTACAGCTCTGGCACAGAATTAGTTCATCCTTCCAATTCTTTTCTAAGCTCAGTTTTGAATTCATCTGTAAGTTTGTAAGACTCCATCAGTTATTTCATTACACTGGATTCCTCAGTTGAGCAAATAAGATAATTTACTTCAACACAGTTTGACATAAACTGTACCTTTCCAAAGTCCCTTACAGTTGCTTTACACATGACAATGAATCAAATGGGTGAGGTATCTTCTAGGAGGCAGAATTCAGGGAAACTAAGATTTAAATTATGTTGACTAGACTTTCTGTAAGGTACTTGCTGCAATCCACCTCTTTTCCCTGTTTCCCTTTAATCTGCATCGAGGCAATCAAAGATCCTCAAATTCATTTGCTTCTGGGTTAAAACAGAGTAGAAATGTTATATCCTTTCTCTTTGGTAAGATGTGGAAGAGTCTGTCCACTGAATCCTAGGAAAATGTAATTTTTATTACTCAGCCAGATTGTATTCCATGACAAATAATATTACATAGGATTTTGCTATCTAATATAGGAAACTGTCAGCACTAAAATTATGTCCTCGGGATCAAAGCCAGCAGAACTTGTTACTGTACACAGAATGTATTCAAAATCCATGATATTAAAGAAAAAAAGTTCTGCCTGATGGATATACAGAAACCAGACACCCCACAGAGATTTGTCCCAAGTCACGATGGTAAAATGTGTTTTACATTTCTCTGCGTATTTTTATGCTGGTTGGTAGAATTTTTGTCTTCTTTTTTTGTTGTTGTTATTTTGTTTGGTTTGGGTTTTTGTTTTTGTTTCGTTTTGGGGTTTTGAAGTTGGTGGGGTTTTGTTTGGTTTTTGGGTTTCTTTTGATGGTTTGTCCAGTTTAAAGAGATGTATTAATCTTCTGTTCTTTCAAAACTCGTCAGTAAATCATGTTTTCAAATTTACAATTTAGAAAAGAACCCTGACAACACAATACTTTCCTTATATACCTCTTAGTAATACTTGGGGAACACAATGTTCCTCAAATATTAGCCTTCTATTACAATGCACTGGCTAAATTAAAAAAACACATTATTGATTCTGCTTTTCAATCCTCATTTTTCTCCATGTTATCTTATACAACAAGAGCTTTGTACACTGACTTTCAGTGCTGGACAGCAGTTCATTTGTAAAGGTCTACTTCTCTTGTGCTTGTAGTGCTGCTATCCTGAATGACATCCTGAAACTGCAAATGGTCAATAAACTAAGTCTGTCAGATCTCTTCATGTCTATTTTACATATTTTTAATGACATAAATCAGTCTACCCAATGTCATCACATCTGCAGAGCATTATTTCTCTGACAGCCCGATCATTTTAGCATAATCAGGAATCTGACTTTTAAACTCTTGCTTGTGCATATCTTTCAACTCCCAGAAACCCTGGGTGCAAGGCTGCGTCCCCACCCTCCCTGATGGCCAAAATCAAAATCTCCAAAGATCCCTTTTTTCTAATGGAAGACTTAGTTCTTTCCAAACTTCTTCCACTCATGAAATTTTCTTCCCTGAAGAGTGAAGACCTCACACTGTTAGTGTGTTTGTTGTGTGGAAAGCTTTCTTATAACAAAATGTTTAGTTACTGTCTAAATTCAGCATCCTTCACTTCCCTGTTAATATCTGTTGTGACAGCTAAGCAGTATCATTTGTTCAATTTAAGGAAAAGCTGTCAAACTTTGAAAAACACATGTACAAGATACGTAAATGCACACATACATGTATGTATGTTTGAAATAGGCTGACTTTTTATATTCCTTCACTAGGCAAGCAGTAAAAGCCAAATAAAATCAAATTGACATTTATGTTCAATGAAAAATCAACCTCAATTTTAAATGTAGTTTAAACTTGTTTTTTTCTTTCTTTTTTTTTTTTTTTAATGAAAGATTCCATCTGTGCACATATATCTGCCCCTTAACTTCCAGGCCATGAAAGTAGGAAAACTGGCAAAAGGGCCTGTGGCAAACACCAGCTGAGAACAGGTGATATAGCTTAAATAAAAAAATTACTGAAACAAACACAGAATAATGAGCTCAAATTTATACTTCAGTCTTCTAATTGTACTTCATATTTTGCTCCTTTGCTATGGCCTTACTGTGACTCTCAGTATACAGGCATGCTGCTCAATGAAACAAAAATAATTTAGTTAAACTTTCAAAAACCTCTTTATCAGAAAGTCAGCCAAAGCAGCACTCATTTATTCCACCTAGGTAGAACAACTACTTTGGCTTATTTCACGGACACCAGATTTATCTTTGGTTTAAGAGATTTAAGAAAAAAGAACCCCTTGGGCAATTATATTGAAAAACAATTTCTTCTTCATAATCCTAAAAAAAAATTAAAATGCCAAAGAAGATTGCTTCCTAGACAAGACAAGGACCACAAAGAAAATAATATTCCAGGAATGCAGTAAACAACCCCATAATGTCACTCTTCAGGGTGGATGGAGATAGAGGAATACTCTTCAAAGGGTCCTGGCTTACTGGTGGTTAAACAATGTTTCAAAGAAAGCACGATAAGAAATAATAATAACATGAAAAAGATTGATTCCAGATTAATCACTGATATATCTGTGATTTATCAGAAACTTATGAAGAAGCTATCATACTTAAGTCAGAAGTGCCAGAATAATGCAAAATCCATCATTAATTTACTGCCAGAACAGAGAGACAGTGTAGCTGATCCCATTATAGGGCTGGTACCACAGAAATACCAAAAAATGACCTTTACATTGGCCTTAGTGGAGTAGTTCAAAAGCATGGCTGGATAACATTTATTATCTATATAAAAGCGCTTTAAAAGAAGCAACACAGTTCAAATAAAAAGAAAAGCAAGCCATTTAATCTTGTTGAAATGTTTCAAATATTAAAATAATCAAGGAACCACTACAGGTTGCAATAGATTCAGGTTTAAGGAAGCATTTACTTTTCTGTCAAAGGCTGATGGGTCAAGAAATGGAGAAATTTATGAAGCTCTATGAGAGCAATCACAATTCACCATATAAAATTCATTGTGGACAAAGTAGTTTTTAAAACATCGTATTGAATGAACTTTTAAATTACTTCTGAAAATTAGAATGAAGAGAGAAGATAGCTCTGATTTAATGTTCAGTGATCATTAAGGAAACAAAAAAGAGAAGGAAGAAATTCTTACTGTGCCATTGCCTAAATCAATGATGCATTATCATTTTGTGCTCTACTTGGTTTTGATCACTTTTGATCAAAAGTGATACACAGGAAGAAAAGAAACAATTCTGAGAAATTTTGGCACCAAATTGATTGGACAGGGGAACAAATAATCTCAACCAAAGCAGGGCATTATAAAATGCAATAATGAGTTTAATTCTCCTATCTGTATATATAGCAAATGCAGGATCACATGGGGATCATATTACTTCACTCTTTCAAAGCAAAAATGGGTGCTACCAAAGGAAATAAAAAACACACGTTATGACATCTGTTGCTGCAATCAATAATTATCCTAATTGCCAGTGGACATAAAGGAAACAGTTCACTGAAATCCTGGCTGTAGAAACTTTCCTTTGACAGCATTGGTCAATCCTCATCTGTGATAGTCCCAGACAGCTCAAAGTGGAAATCAGCATTTTGTATGGATGGGTAGTTTTGTGAGGTTTCTGCTCCTGTGCTGTGCAGAGGTACTGATGAAGAGGAGGAGGTTTTCCATCTTCAATGACCACTTTCAGCTATCTTGAGAATACAGCAAAAGCAACCTTTCCCCCAACCCGTGGCTCTCAAGAGTCCTCCTGTCACTTATGTGACACTGCAGTGCATTTCTGCCTTCTCCATGGCTCTCCCAGTGCTACAAAAGCTGTGCCTTGCCCATGGGAGGGAGATGGTCACTGTGGCTGCAGGGACCTTGCTGTGTCTGAAGGGACGTCTCTGCCAGGGTAACCAACGCCACCAAAGCTCACATGACTTTCTTTCACTGCCATCCCTTTGCTTTCAGACTGTCAAAGGGAGTAGGAAAATCTCCATAAAATGGAGAAAGATAAATGGAATAGGGACAAACACCTGAAATTTCTGTCTGTGGCATAAATAACCAGCACTCTGTTTTACACTGAAGTGGCATTGCTTTATTTGTAACTGCAGCTGAACTGTGGTACTGTCTGAAGAAAATGGAAAGGAGAAAGAGGGAAGAAAGAATAGTAGTGAGCTTTCTCTTTTTTTTGCATTGTGTCAGGCAAGTCCTCATTCAGAAAAATGTTTTATGAATCTTTTTATGCTAGAGAGATTTAGAGCTCCCATTTCCTACAAAATACATTTGTAAGGCACATTTACATCTCTTTCATGCAGCAGTACGTGTTTATGGATGGAACTCTCATTTCCTTGGCTGACATCAATTCTTTAGAAATAAACCCAGAATTTCTAGCCATAATACTTGACATAGAAAACTTGTCTGTTTATTCAGAGAGTTCAATGAGCTAGGAAGAGCGACACTTTAACTGTAAACACAATAGTTTAGTTGACAATGTTATAAAATATTAATGCCAATTTATGTAGGTGTCTAATCAAATAGCGGCCTCGGTCATCTTTGGGGACTGAAGTAAAATTTAGTTGTTGTTGACATTAATTGAATGAGCTGATCTAGTTATATAAAAATCACCCTACAACACTGAAATCAAACTTAGTATAAAAAGTTATTATCACATAGACAGGATGGAGCTGCCAGCGCCATACAGACAATATAATTGGTATTCTCAACTGCCTGCCAATCTACAGTTCCATTTCTGGCTTAGCAAATGTAGCTATCATAAATGGCAGCATGCACTAAGCTTACAGAATAAGAGTATTTACAATTTCATGGATAAAGAGCATCCACTGCCATAAGAATGTTAGAAAAAAAGAAGAGTAAAATACTGTATATTTTTCTAAGGTAAACTGTTACATTATTGGCTAAAATGCTAGGGTACATAGGAAAGTATTTAATGTCTCTATTTCTTCTCCAAATGCTACCAAAATATCTCAAAAGAGGCCTCATTTTCATAAAGTGCCAAGCAGATTAAGGGAAAACAGAACCCAGAAACAACCACTGCAGAATGCTATTGCCAGAGCTCTACCATTTCCTCAAGGAAGAGAGAATTTTGGAGCTGAGGGCAGAGGGCTTTGGGGAAGCTCATCTGAGAGATGGGCAGGGTCAATCCAAAGTTTTGACTGAATATTGTAGGCTAAGACATAAAAATGTCCACATAAAGATTTTGTCCAAAAATTGAGCAAAGAGTTGGGAATCTTTTGCTAAAGAAATTTGAACTGGGAAATGGGATGGCATGCATTACTTGTGTTCACCCTCTTCATGGCACTGTAAAGCAGTAGATTTTGGATAATGCCCCTCTGACTGTTCAGAAAAGTTTTCCAAAAATTTAAAACAGAAAAAAGGAAATTCAAGCCAAAACCATTTTATTATGTCCCATTTATAAAAGCATAAAGAACTAGTAAATTACTGTTTCACTGACAAGAGTATCTCTGATCAGACATTCACTATGGTAATAAAAGCTGTTAACTTGTTTTAGGAAAAAAATCAATTGACAGATGAAGAGGACACTTTTCACTAAAGCAGCAGCACATCAAGGCTTTCAGCATGTCTGCATCCCTTCTGCATAATGTACTCCTGGACATGTGTTTGATGTAAGGTACTGCCTGGTTTTGTTGAGATTCAAGAGGGGGAGCAGAGGGGAGAGGCAGGCTAAGAGAGAGAGAGAAAGTGAGTATTTCAAATGGCCAATACTCTTTATCACAGGACTCAGAACAAAGATGCAGCATCCTACGCTGATATTCATCAGTCCTTGAATCCACATTAATTCTCTGTTCCAAAACAAAAGTGTGGTTTTATCTGAGAGAAATAGCATTTTGGTAAAACACAGTGTCATGTGAATGCATTTTTCAAATTTTCTGGAATAAACAGAGAAAAATCTTGCATTAAATTTCTGTTTTAAGAGAAATGGGTATGCATTCTGTGGATCCCTTAATTCTTACTCATGTTTCCAATCCTGAACTCAGAAAAAAGAAAAGAAACTCAAATGAGCAAAGGACAAGAGTCAGTGCTGGATAATGTAAAGAATTACATCCAAAAAGGCATTATCAAAGCTCCCACAAAACTGAGAAACCTTATGGCCAGATCCAAAGGACTTACATACTGAAGACTTAGGCAGAGCTAAAGTACTTAAATTGAGAACAGTGACACCAAAATATGCCATTGAGGTATTAAAAGGAACTTTATATAGGAATTTGGGGGGGGTGGGGGGGTAAAATGACTGTAATTTCTTTCCTGTGATTAAACATTAACTACACCAAAACAACATTAATACAGAAATGAAATTAAAACCCCTGTGGTCCAGTCTTACCTTCCTGATGCCTTCAGAAGGGTTTGATACGCAATTATCTGCCCCATTATTCTTACTGATAGTCCTCCACAGTTCAGCAAATGTGTTATCCTGCTCCAAAGGGTTGGTCCCTTTTGCTTTAAAGTATTCATACACTGCTGAGTCCCTGACTGTACCATAAGATATATCCATTTGTTTGGACAGATCCTGAAATGTTCTGAAATTAAAGCAATATTGAGAAATTAGTATTATGTAGTACATTAGCAAGATTTCATTAATTAAATGGTTTCTTTTTATGTCTGCCATTCGTCAGAAAGCACTTACCCTCACCAAGTAACATTTCCATATTTCATTCTTCATCTAAAGGAAAGCCAAGTATTCATTTAATTGTACTGAGACCATATGATTTTAACTACATCCAAGCTCTGTTTCACCCCAGTGATAAACACTTACCTGAACACAAGAAAATCTTGGATTATAAATATAAACTTCCAGCCCCATCAACTTCACCAGAAATACCTTGCAGAATTCAGTGGAATTAGTTTGCAGTTATATCAATGCTCCATCTGACTCCAAATCAGTATTACTGTTTTAAACAAACAAATAAAATCTTGCTTCAAATTTCCTCTAAGTCTCTCCTGCTCTGTCTTTTCACAGCCTCTGGTAAAACAGGCATTTTTCATTCACACAGGGGCCTAACTTTCATTTACTCATCATATACCACTCTGGAAGTGTAAATGGGTCTCACCCTGAGTGACTGTGAATGCACAATTTATTTTCAAATTGTACAAAATGTAATTCACTCCTGTTTTACAGCCTTTTCTGCACTGAAAGGTGTAAATCACTGCCTGCATCAATGAAAACCAGCCCAAGCTTCAAAACATTTAAGGTGACATCACTGCCATCAAAAGCAGCATCCTGGCTGTTTTCCCTCTCAGATGTTCATTCCCATTCCTGTGCCTTCTCAACACACATTCGACCACTGATGGCCACACACAGCAGCAGGAACCAAACTGAATCCCATGAATACTGGCTTATTTTTTTTAAAATACTTTATAAACGTGTGGCTTCATATATTAACATGTTTCTGATATAACCAACTAACATTGCTTGACATCAGTTAAACTAAAGAAACCCTCCCTGCCTCACCCCATTTCTTTTTCCCAAAAACAATCTTTCAGAAACAAAACCTTCCCGATCAATAGATCTAAAAGGCCCACTCTTGTGGGAGGTGTCCCCCACACCTTCAGCTCCTGAAGCCAAAAAAGCAGAGCATTTTGGCTTGCAGCTTGTGTAGATTTCTTCACAATGCTCCTGAGGAGCCTTCCCTTGGCCCATGAGCCAAAGCTGTTTTACACAGTTGAAGACTTGTCATAGACAATATTTTTCTGCCACCCTCTTCCCTGTTTCACTGGGGAGATGCCACTCTTGACACCTCACATGCCTGGAAGATTCCCTGCTATGCTATTTAAAGCAAAGCAATCTGGGCATATGCACAATGCCACATAAAAATATGTAGAAAGCTCTTCCCTCTTCTCCCTCACATCACCCCCAGGCCTCCCAAGTTTAGCTGCAAGAGGTGCCCTTCTCTGGGACTCCTGGTGTGGCAGCCTTGTCCCCAGGCTGCAGCTCCAAGGGCTGCCTCTCAGCACGCCCCCCACCCCAAACTCTTCAAACTCACAAGCTGCTTCAAATAGTTTAAGTGGTTTAAGTTCTTAAATTGTGTTAAGGACTTTTTATCATTTTAAGCTGTTAAGCAGCTTTAAGTAAGACTATGTGAACAGTTTCTGTCTATATACATTGCACACTTGTGGATTTGGGCTAACTCTAGGAGTTCCACCAAACCCCAAACTTCCTGTTTTTCCCTAGCTCCGTATATGACAATAGATAAAGTACTAAACAAACATCCTGGATGCTACTGGAAATTCAAAATGCTAATGAAGAGTAGGAGAATTTGTCCAGATTTTATTTCTTTCTTTAACAATCCTGAAAGGTCTATTCTGCTCCCCTAAATGTTTCCTGTACATTCTATGGAACCATTTTTCCTCCAGTCTTGATCTACATGATTACATGCTGCATTTAGTTCTGTCTTTATTTTCTAAAGTAAGTTTCATCATATCCCAAGAAATTGCTTAAAGCCCAGGAATGGATGATCTAGCTGTTACAAGATATTTCTGCCTATAGGGCAAAGAAAGCCACTCAATATACACAGGAAGTTCTTCTGTGGCAATCCTTTCCCACCAGGTTTAGTGTAGAGATTTTGGGGTGAGTAGGAAAGCATGTTTGGTAGAAGGACAGGTGCAGAAATATAACAGAAATAACTAATATACTTTAACATAGGTTTCAGCTGGTAACAGCTATACAAATGCCTACTGCTGATACCACTATTCTGTTTGAAAGTTTTAACATGAGGGTTTGGATAGTTAAAAAAAGAATTAAACTTGCAATTTTAATATTATCAGTATTTTCTGTTTTCCTTTATTGCCATGGAAGCTTTTACTAAGAAATGTGCACTTTGTTTTAGCTAAATTGCACTTTATTGGCAATCAGTATTTTTATTTTAGCTAAATTACATTTTATTGACAATCAGTACTGCACAAAAGCACAGTACATGTTGCTTTACGAGCAGCACAGTTTGTTCAATTCTCTAAGCATCACAGGGCAGAGAGAACAAATCTGGGGTTTAAATCAAGTGCTTGCAATAAACAGACAAGCATACAGGTGGAAGGGAGGGAAGCACAGCATTGGCCTGGGTGTGGGAGTGAGGTAAGCCCTTTAGCTGGCAGCATTTCCTTGGAGTTGTGTTTCCCTGTGTTGTGGGAAAATGTGGAATATTGTGTGTTCTAAGGATTTCTTAACTGTTTGATGATTTGAACCACTTAGCCAAAAACTTATCTCAGAAATTATCCCGACAGGGAGCGGTCTCAGCCGCACTTCTAACTCTGTATAAAAAAAAACAAACACCTCTGCTGTATTTCTGCACTGGAATTGGAGGAGATGCTCAGCACCTCCATGGCTAGAGAAGCAGTCAGAAGATTCATAAACAATACTGGATGGAAATGAATTATCTCCTACTTTTTACAGGGTGAAGCAAGATAATCACAAGAGTGCTAATCAAAACCGTTATTTTAATTCCCTCAAATTTGCTTTTGCCAGACAAAAATCACTCACATGTCAGATACTGTCTGTAACTTACAGTTGTGTCAATGTCTAAAGGCGGCTGCTGTCATTGTTCTTAAGCTTTATTTGTGCAACCAGCTGTTATCTGGACCCATCTCCTTTACCTACTCAAGTCCTTTTCTCACTTTCCTATGACAAAGATTTCATGCATTTAATATTCAAAATAATTTGCAACAAAAATGTGCAGCACAACAAGATGCCCCATTAACCTTACCACCTCAGTTATTGGATCTCACAAGCCATTGAAGGCTCTTTGTAAGTGTGATTAAAGCCAGTAAACCAGAAAAAGCCAATGTCCCCAACTTACAGGAGCAAAACTGCAATTTGTAAATAAATACATCCACGGTGTGATTGTTATAATTGACAAGTACATGTAAACCAATTGATTTAAGTAAATGTATCTGAAGTCAATCTAAGGAAAAATGTCTTTTAAACCTGTATTACCAGACAAAATATTTAATGCCCATATTTATGCCTGCTACATGAACACAACAACTGATACATATTCTCAGTGGAATTGCAATTACTTCATGCAGAGTCAACTGAAGACTGGGTTCTCTTCTTGTTTGTTGAAACTTATTGACATAAAACAAATGCTGCAGAGGACACAGACAAGCAGTAGTGGTATTAGCATTTATAATTAGGCCACTGGAAGTAATTGCCACAATAAAAATACTGATTAAGATACACTTTTTGGAGATGTTTTCTTACTTGTAAAAGCCTTGTGTAGCTGTAGATATACAGACTAAAAATATGCTGCCAGTATGGGTTTATTTTACTCTTTTGCTGCTATATGCCCAAGACTTCTGGATGAATAATAAGTGACAGACTAAACTTGACACCAGGTGCTTTGAGGTAACTGCTGATCAATTAACTCAGCTGGAGGCACCTGGATCATCAGATGTGATCAAAGTATTTTTCAAAAGAAAAACATGTTCCTGTTACTTCAAAAAAAAAAAAAAAGAGTGAATTTTTTATTTTTTTTGTAGTGACCCTGAGACTTTTGCTCAATGCAGCAAAATATTCTAGATGATGGCTGCCATCACGATAAAGTGTCTCAAAGATGATGAGACTTTTTAAGCTGCTCTGCCTAAATGAAGTCTTAAAAATGCATACATAAAATGTATAGTGCAAGTCCTAAATTTCTATTTTTAAATGCCTTGAGGCTAATTTATTTTCCTTTAAACTTTCTTCCTCCAAAAGTTAGTAATTTATTACATCTTCAGAATTAAATATAAGTTCAGTTCCTAACAAGAGCTGTTTTCTCCACACAATTATGTAAAAGGGAAATATGTGTTTTATACACTGGGAAAATGGCAAACCCAGTAAACTTCAAAGTAAAAATAGAAGTATCTGAACTGATGTGAAAAGCTTATACCACCACTGTAAGCCTAAGAAACACCTATGAGCTGAAACCTAGAACATAAAATCCTATCTGAAAGGAGATTTATTGGATAAAGTTATACCCAGTGGAAAGCGATGAATTGAAACAGAATTCTGCCTACTGTGAACTGCAGAAAAGTGCAGAATTTTGAGACCTAAAATTGCTGAGAATTCCTCCCTCCAAGGAAGAATTTTCTATGACAATGAGGACAAATAAGCAAATGGTGTTAGTTGTTGTTGACCACATCAATCCACCCACTGAGAGATGAACTTGGAAGACAAGCAAGCATTGCCAGATCAGAATCTCATTTGTAGATGTCCCCCAAGAGAAAAGAGTCTGCAAAGCTGAATCAAGGTTGAAGTGGTACAGACATGTCTACATGAGCAGATCTTAGCATTCAGAACCTCAGCCCTGATCTGAGTCCTGATTAATTTGTATATCCATTTATGAATCTGCAAGGCAAAGGATTTGAGCCTCATTCCATTTTTTACAAATGAACAATCTTTGGAGCTCCAGTTTTAAGTAAAATTTGAGTGGGTAAGGTAAAGCTTGTCTTCAGTCATCCAAAACTGAGTTTAAACTTTCACAAAAGGACATTCTCTAGAGCTGGTCTACCCAAGACGAACAGTTTAACTGGTTGAAGAGCTGGAAAA